TATTTTGACTATGTTTATTCACAGCGACAGAGTTGAGCTCTTTTGTTGCTTCGTTTGAAACTACCGGAAACCTGGAAACATCTACCTTCTTGAGGTGGCTCTGAATTTGTTGTTGTGTGGTTGTCGTTTGTTTATGTTTTACTGGACTCGGTATCATACGGATCTTGAGCAGACGTTGAAGAAAAATCGCCAAAATATTCGTCAAAATGGACACTGAAAGTTGGAAACTTCCATTAAAGTACTTCTTCATCCTGAAGGAGCTCATAATCGTCATTTAGAAACTGTAATTAATTAAATTCGTTAATTTTTTTGGAAAAAAAACTACAATAACAACAAAGTTTTGGCAATAGACTAGTAGTTGCTAAATTCTCCACACAATGGCCTTTTGTCTTTCATTTTCCTGAAATTTTATTGACTACTTTAAATTAATCTTGAAATCTGATTGGTTGTTTTGTTTTACTGTTCCATTCTCATTGGCTGATGCGATTTAGAGCAAAGAATAGTGCGATTCGTGAATAAATCGCACCACTGAGAGCCAATCAGATTGCAACGATAACCAGTGATTTCAAAATGGATTTAATAAAGCTGTATATGTTCTCTTTAGCATCATTTCACTTAATACACTTTTCCCTCACTCAGTTTTACTATGGGATAAAATAAATCTAAGTTTAGAGTGATTTAACCCAAACGCTTATCTTAGTAGTGAACAAACCCGGGTATTAGAGGCTAAACTCGCGAAACCGAGCTAGACGGCTTGATATGTTGGCCCGCTTCACGCCACCAGAAACAACAGCACGTCATTCTCGCTTCAATGGTGTGGAGTTTACAGGGTGCCAGTGCATAAACTGTGTTTTGTAACTCAAATTTTTAATATTAGGACTAGTTGCTCTTAGGAGTATTTTATATTTTAAATTCTGATTTTATCTTAGCGAATATAGTAATTGTAAGTAGTAATGTTATTGTAAATAGTCGTGCTCTTAGGAATATTGTTAGTTTTAATTCTGAATTTTTTCTTAGCGAATATAGTAATTGTAAGTAGTTATATTATTGTAAATAGTCGTGCGCTTTTTGTCATGAGCCCCTGGCTCGGGAGATTGGGCAACCACATCCCACGTTTGCGACTTAAAATAAAGTCACCTTTCCTTACCTTACCTCACCTCACCTCACCTCACCTCACCGCGCCACCGCCGCGCCGCGCCGCGCCTGGCCTGGCCTTGCCTTGCCTTACCTTACCATACCTTTAGATCTGATTACGTGAGTGTCATGGCGGCCTAGATTGACAAACTGCACGAGACCAATGGTATTATAATTTGGTCGTCATGACAACAAAATGGGTATTTTAAGGAAAAACTGTCCCTGGTGTAGCTCCGTGTGCAACGTGAACTGACCAATGAGAGCAAGGTCTTGGTTTGCCAGTCCCCACGTTTGCGACTTAAAANTTTAGAGCAAAAAATAGTGCAATTCGTGAATAAATCGCACCACTGAGAGCCAATCAGATTGCAAGGATAACCAGTGATTTCAAAATGGATTCAATAAATGTTTTAAGTGTACAGTTTCAATTTCGAGCAGTCAAATTACTAAGTGCCAATCAACATGTACTGTATGATTTACTTTAAATTTATTATTTACAGTACATACTTGATCGTCCAGAAGGGCAGTTGGGCTTTCCACGCACCCTTGTTCCTTCTAACTCTGCGCCATTCTTATCAGCACACCAGCAATAGCCAGTGGATGCCCAGCACTGTATCTTTGAATAACTTCCATCAGCCTCACACTGTGGCACAAACCTGCCAACAGGCTGCAGGCCATTGCTGCTGAATGACAAGGCTTTGGCCTTATGCAATTGACATTTTGATTTACCTGATAAAATGAAGATCTGAAGCGTTACAAATTAAAACAGGATTTACTTGTCTGCACCGTGGCAATGATTCTTCTAACAGGACTTGGATGGTTATAAAAATTCTGCTACTTTGGAGTACAGTATTTGATACAAAAAAATAACATCCAGAAAAATCTCCAAATTATTCAAAACATGTACTGTAGGCACAATATGTTTATCGATTAGTTGTTTTCATCCCCTCAAGAATAATGTTGAATAAGATATCTCAGCACAAACTTTTTCATCCCCTAAGTTTGATCAGAATATCAGATACATTGTACAAGCCAAGTTTTCTTGAAACCAGACATATTCTTCAAAAGTTCAAATCTGCATTGTTGGATCACTGGCTTGAAAGTTGATTTCCTTTTACTAAATTTGCACTCAAAACTGCAGCAAATTAGATCCTATATATATATTTACATTTTGTTTATGTTCCCATCTACATGTAGGAGGGTGGAGTCTTAGGTTCCATGTAAATATCCTGGATGGCCCCTGGTATTAACCCACTCCCTAGTGCTGATCAATTCAAACTGACCAAAAGGTTATTAATACCTTCATCACAGTTGACCACTTTACCACTCTTGTCAACAAACTCTACTTTGCATCCTCCACAGGGGTTCACACGACATTTTGCTTCAGGATGGGCGGGGCAGGTGGACCACTGACAGAAGTTGCGCAAACAGGTAAACATGGGTTTGCCTGAACAGACTAAAATGCAAACAATTTTGACAGCAATTAGGATAAGAACTTAGTTTCATTTTATACCATCCGATTCGCTTGTCTGAATGGTTTGTGAGATGAGGCACACCTTAAGACTGTGTTCTTGACTGTACATTGAAGTTACTGTTACATACAAAACACAGTTAATAAGACTAATTTACTTCTACATGTACATGTACTCTGCCACAATTGTCACAATTGGTTGATGTTGAAATGAATACAGCTGTTAAAATGCATTTTGACTGACTTGCACTCTACAAGTTGGACAGCTGTCTAGCTGTTACCTACTGTATTAATAACATTACAGTATACGGATGACAACAATCTTTGCAGGAACACTGTTCTTGTGCACCATTTAATGGGCTGTTCATTATGATTGTGTTGCCCTTAATGTAACTGTACATTGGACTCTTTCCATTTTTATGAGCTGAGCTACAGTGTACCTCCAAGAGCTGTCTTGTTACAATGCGGCAAGCCTCGAGTCATGGTTCCATCAACGGGATTTCCACCCACATCTACACACCAACAGTAACCAGTGGAGCCATAACACTGCACTTCCTCATAACTGCCATCTGCCGCACACTGTGGTACAAAGCGTCCGACAATAGGGTGTTCTGGTTTTTCATCCAGTGAGTGGGTACCAAGGGCCTCAAGTCGCTGTTTCTGGCACTTGGAAAAGCCTGTGCAAGAAATAAGGAAGTTTGTTACCCCTCGAAAAAAATTCCACTAATAGTTAAGCACAGGTTTCATGCAAAGGAGAAAAAAAGAAAAAAACCTGGTTACATCTGACATTGTACAAAATTAATAACTTGTAAAACATGGTTAGTTGCTTTGATTGGTCAGCCAATACACCAGATCTTAAAACATGTAGCTATAGCTTCAAATTATAGGAATTGTTTAATTCTAATGTCTCCATGTCTTATTTATGAGTGTGAAATAAAGAGGGATTGTTGCGAATAATATGCTATCCATCATGGCAGGCGGACAAGAACGTGGCGAACGTGATAACAGGAGAAGGGACTGGGTATGTGGAGACCTGGCACTAGATAAACAACATGTCTGCTGGTCCATCGATCACTGAATTTGATGTCACTTTGGATGAATTTTGAGGTGAAGTAGGCCTTCAAAAAAACCTTATTAAGAGTTTTACTTTCGTCCGAGTTTACCCGGACTAGCGGTCCGACTTTTGTACCTGCCTTGCAAAGCTTAAGTTAGCGATTTCGTGTCATTGAAAACAATCAAAGGATTCAAATTCTCTACATTCTTTGCCATGAAAGATGGATTAACACATTAACAACAGCGAATTTTATAGAGGAGTAAAGCGTCAACGTGACCGTGATTGTTCACAAGAGAACGATACATTGATGGCTTGATACTGGTCAGCGCACTGCACTGCGATATTTCGCATACTGCAAGCGGAATTATCCCTCTGGTAAGGAATTGTTGTTCTGGTCTTGAAAATGCTGCGAATTTTCGTTCTTTGTTTTAAAGAAATCACACTCAAGACATTGCAAAAAGACGCTTGAATTTTCATGCGAACTTTTGAAGAAAGTTCGCAGAGACAAAGAACAAAATTTGCGCATTTCGCTCTCATTTCTTTGAAAGTTCGCAGAGACAAAGAACGAAATTCATGCATTTCGCTCTCAGTACTATTGCACAATACTTTATGGTGATAGCGCTGGTCCGTTCCCAATAGACATTTTTAAAATTTAAAGTTAGAATCATATTTGCTTTAAAATTGAAAAACCTTTTGAAATCAGTCTGGCTTTTAAAAGACAATTCAAAATAGAAATTGTAAGGAGAATCGAAGATAAAATAAAATAAAAACATGAATAGAGTTGGTTATTTCATCAGAAAATGAAGTCGATCTCTGTTTTGAGGCTAAAAAGATGTGTGATAATGATGGGCCACCATACAACTGCCGGGGACAGTTGATTGCTGTTGTTGCTAAAAAAAAAGGAAGATTTTGGCAAAATTTCCTTTCAAAACAGCACCTGGAGTTCAAAACACAGGAAAATTTTCCAAAAAACCATGAATGTCATTTGTTATTCCCATCATGTGAATTAGCAAACTCCAATTCTTACAAAATTTCCCTTAATGGAAATTTCTTAAGGTAAAAATATGAAAAATAATAACCATTAATGTAAATTTAGTCTTCTAAATGTTATTTTCTTAATTCCCATTAATGATAATACACTTGATGAAACCGATAATGGGAAATTAAATTCCCATAGTAGAATTCTACATAAAACCATTAAAGAGAAAGCATTTAAATCCATTCATGTGACTTTGTTAGCGCAGTCCATAATGCAAAATGTTGAAGTCCCATGAATGGAAATCAACTTAATAAAACCAATAATGGGAATTGATAATCACATGATAGTAATTCTACACACAAGCCATTAATGGGAAAGTATTCATATCGATTCATGTGAATTTCTTAGTGCAGTATTTATGTATAACATTGAAATCCCATTAATGAAAATCAACTTGATAAAACCATTACTGTGAATTTAAAATCTCTACACAAGCCATGAATGGGAAAACACTGAAATCATTTCAGATCATTTAATGTGAATAGGTTAGTGCAGTCCATACAGTCTGGGCTAGTGTAACTAAAATTATATTGAAATCCCCTGAATGGGGACTTGATAGAACAAACTTGATACAAATCAATGAATGACCAATAAGGACTTACAATTTAGTTACAGAAACTCAGGATGACAACTCAACTGGCACTTGACAACTGAGGCAGTCAGTTAGATTAATAAAAAAGGAATTTTATTAATCTAGAAGTTCGCGGAGAAACAGCCACAAATTATTAGTGTTTCGATCATTATAATCCTCTCAGCCAGGCATCTCCCCTCCATTCACCATAAGACAGGCATAAAATGGAATCGCAAGAAACTGTATCTTGTGCTTGCTTCAAGTCACAATATGGCACATACAATTATTGTTGGCCTGGCCTTTCTGTGTCCTCCATGTAATACCAAATTTTGCAAGTCTTGGCCCTTTCTTGAATGGCCAACACCTTTGCCAACCAAGGGACGGGGTTATCATCTTTAATCAAAATCATGTCTTGCACTTGTGGAAAGAAAGGTACAAGAATGTCATTGCTTATTTTGCCAGTGTCTGTACTCAACGGAAGACGAAACGGCTTTACCGTCACAGGAACTGCAAGGGCAGTGAATGTGAAGTTAAGAAATTTCACTGCAGCGACACTGGATGATCTCCCTGTTATCCCAACTCCTTTTCATATCGAAAAGAACAAATACTAAGATGCCAATTCACCTGAAAAATGACGATGTCTTAGCTATCCACACAGGAAGGAAGAAATTGAAAATGAATTATGGAAGATACTGGTTCGAGCGTAATCGCGGAGTGGACGGTGGAAGATGTTTCGAAGAAGATTCAGCAGACATATAATGATGAAGTAGCGAAGAAATTTGAGGGTAACTACAAAATTATTTATTCTTCGTCCATCGTTCTTCTGGGTTTTTAGCAAACTAAGCTTATATTTTCAAGCAAACTTTTATTAAACTGGTCTTTTATGATTTGAAAAAGAACTCGGCAATTTAAATAATAAAATGATGAGGAAATACGTATCAAAGAAGCTTTACAGGAGAAAGCTTGCGCAGTTCAATTTTAGCTTCTTTTGGTGAGGACTTGGTTTCTTTTGCATGTGTTATTTTGGTTTCTTTGCCACGGCTATTCCCTAAGAATTACCCCGGGCTCTTTTTAGTTCTTCCCACAATTAATGCTTTCTTTTTGTTTCTCTCATAGAACAAAAAATAGACGGTAGGGCGCTGAAACTTCTAGCGAAAGAAGGGTCGACAGACCAGCTTGCCGCATGTGGCCTCGAAACTGTAGGCGATCAGTTGCGCCTCAAGGAGGAGGCATCACTGGTACAAGTGCCCAAAATAATCATCAGGGGAAAAAAACCGACCATCAAACAAGTGAAAGCAATGTCTGATCTCGATCAAAGGATCTACAAAGCAAAGAAAGCTTAAGTATATACAACTGTACAAAGAAATATTTATACATTGAGCGCACTATAGTAATGCTTGGGCACTCAAAATTCTTTGTCTGGGTGAGTGTGACTATTTTCTGATATGCCAAAAATTCTTGAAAAGGTCTATTGTTCTCACCTTGTCTTACAGCCAAAGGTATCCCTTTGTGCTTCCTCCTTGCATTAGGATAACTAACCAGGCAACACTTACCACATTTCGATATATTTTGTGCTTCAGGGAAAACTGCTATTATTAACCAAAGAACAGGATAGGCTTTGCCATCTAAATATGTAGCTAAAATAATACATTTGCCCTCTAAACTTAACAGATAAGATTGGAAACTGGTTGTCTTAATGATGTCCTCTAGCATTTTAGAATTAGACACAATGAAAACTGCAAACTTGTAACCTACATGTAATAAAAAACATTTATATACAGTACTGTTGTGTTGAAAGACAATATCATAGCCTTAATATTATAAGTGTGTAGTAATTACAGTCAAAGCAAAACATGTAGAATGACAGGTGTAATTAATAAGATGCAATAAATTGTTCATTTTTTTGTTACATCCACTGTTTCTCTTTCTTCTACTTATTACAGGTTTTTCTCCAGATAAAAAGTGAATGGTAACAGAGTAAACTGCAAGGTCTGACTTAAATAAAAAAAAACTGTTGACTTAAATAAAAAACATAATGATGGAATAATAATGCTATACATGTATTATTGAAAACACTCGCAAGTTTTTGTTTAAGACCAGTCCTTTTTTCACAAGAAACCACCATGGTTACTGAAGCTGCCATTGATCATTGGTATAAATGGAAAAATATGAATGTGTTCTTACTAAAATCCAACATGGTTTGACGTCACCTTACATAATGTAAAAGCATGCAAAAACCATGACTGGATTTCAGATGATACACAACAAGTTTTTTCTTCAGGATACATCATGTTATATACCATATAACCAAGCATGTTTTAGAGTAAAAACATTCATGTTTTCTAGTTTAAAGCCATTCGTGTTTTTTAGAATAAACCACTATGGTTACTCTTGCTAAACCATTTATGGTTAATTGGAAAACATTAATGTTTATTTACTTTAATCCAACATGGTTTGTTTACATTTTACATAATGTTAAAACCTGTAAAAACCATGATTGGGACCCAGACAAACCACTATGTGTTTTTTATAATACCCATGATAATATCCATTGATGATTCTATTGGTAAAAACCAAGAATGGAAAGTGTTCTGCTTTTCCATTCATGGTTTATTAAATGGGAATTAACAGAATTACCATTGAAAATACCATTCATGTTTTTTTGGAAAATTTTCCTGTGAAAATTACTGTATAGCCTCTAACAGTTGCAAGTTCATTAAGAAACTCCAATACTTACAGTCAACCTTCCTGCCATTCTTATCAAGGAACTCTGCCTCACATTTGCCACACGAATTCACCCTGCAAGTTGCATCTTTCTGACCAGGGCATGATTTCGTACTGCACAACATTGGATCACAATGTAGTTCCTGAACTGCAGCTGGGCACACTAAAAATAATAGATTCATAGTTCAGGGCTCGAAATTAACTTTTTCGTTCGGGAGCTAGCTGGCGACTAACGGAAATATTTTGGTCGCCAGATCGTAAGTTTTGGTCGCCAACTTATTACATATATAACTTACACAAGAACATGATTTTATACGTTACTTTGCATGCAAGAAAAGTCAAGAGCGAAAACAATTAGGAACAACATGAGTAACACTTAGTTATAAAGGGGGGGGGGGGCGGGGCGCGGGGGGGCGGGACAGGGGTTCAGAACCTCCCGCCTCCCATACCCAGCTCTCCCGCTTCCCGTACCTTTATCTCCCACCTCCCACCCTTTTCCGTGCCGCTCCCCTCCACTGTAAATTGGCAGAGTCAAAACACATCCTAGTCATTTAGCTTCGCAATTCTTAAGCATTTCCTTTGTTTTTAAATAATTTAACAAGATTACCACTGCCATATGTTTCAATTCAATGAAGTTTTGACCTACTTGTTTATCTTCTTTGAGCTTCACCATTTCAGTCCATTTTCATTGGCTCTTCAGATTTGTTTCTGAAATCCGTTTTCAGTGATGATGGTCTCACAAGTTAATTCTAGATTGTCTCGTGTTCTGATAAAGTATACGCATTTCCAGTAACCAGTCTGGTGTTTATTGGGATCAGACAGTTAAATCATGGAAGTAGGTTGTCTCACCTTTTTGCAATTTGACAGCTTATGCAACACATGTGTACTCATGCCACCTGACATTTCATGACCTATGACGTAACCACTGTAAACGGGTTTACTATTTCACTGGAAGTAAGCCTGTTTTTCGGCCCAAGAGCAAATTTTCGTTTGCTCGTTTGCTAAGAAGTGACTGAGAAGACATTAAATGCCAGTCAAATATAATTTGGATACTTGTTTTTGAAAGCATTCTAACGCATTGTTGAATTTAAAAAAATAGTGTTTCGCATTTTTCTCCCGCTTCCCGCCATCTTAGAACTCCCGCTTCCCACCCTTTCCTCTCCTGCCTGGTCAGAAGGTGATGGTTGTCTCCATAGTCATTTTAAATAAAGCAAAGTATAAAACGTTTTAAGTCCGTGGTTTTCATTGTGAGACAAACACGGGTCCCTGCGTATTTTCCCTTTGTTACTTCTTCGAAATGCCGTTCTTTATTTTTGACTTGCTTTCCTCAACCCCTTTTGCTGCCGACAAACAATGCCATGCTTGGCTCAGGCCCCTACACAACCACATTGCTCGTACCAATCTCCGACTGGGAGGAAATATGGCGCACCCTGAATGCAGTATCAACATGTCAAGTACATTCATTTTTTCGATTATCTTGTAATATTCAGACATTATTTTACTGGGGATGGAAAAGGTGAGTTGCATACTAGCTACCATATCTGAATTGATTTCCTAATATAACGATTTAAAAACAAAAGTTGTGTTGTGGTTTTCTTTAGTTATCGGACAAAACGCGAGTCGCCAGCTGGCGACCAGTTCTGAAAATTTAGTCACCAGTGCTCAATTTTTGGTCGCATTGGCGACCAGTGAGTCGCAATTTCGAGCCCTGTAGTTATACTGTGTCTCACTTCTGTCAGCAATGTTCAAAATGTCATTTCTTGGATTGGTTTTTGCCAGTGTGAGGTCCTAAATATTAAAGAACTCGTGGATGGACATTCCTGATATCTTTATTTTTACCTGCAGTCCTATGTAGCTGTGAATCTCAGGAGAAAAAATGCATTTCAGAATACAAAGAGAGCTGTAGAGCTCTGATAGAATGGCTGAGAAAGCAAGTCCTGAGGAAGTAAGTTAGCCTGCAGAACAGGCTAGAAGCAAGTCTGATTGTTATCCACTTGAGGAAATGGCTTTGAGTTTGCAATAACCAGGTTCCAATTAGCAGGGTCCAGCTTTACTTACTGTACATGTACTCTGACAGCAGAATCTAATATATAGACTTTACGTACCAGTTCTTGTGCAGTCTAAATCTCCTCTTGTTCGTGTTCCACCCCACTCCTGTCCATTTGTGTCCACACACCAGCACTGTCCAGTTGATGCATGGCACTGCTTCTCCTCAAAAGAACCATCACTTTTACACTGGGGTACAAAGCGGCCAATGGGGGGAAGTTTCTCAGCTTCTTGCTTTTTCTTTTGGCACAGCGTTAACTCTGGAAACAAAAACAGATTAGATCACTATTAAAGTATTCACTGTCATTCGGAGCTTTATGATTTATAATGTAAATAATTTAAATAATAGTTTTGATATTGTAACCTTGTATTGAATGATTACACTGAGGGTCTCTGAGGGGATAATTCAGAAATTTCACTTTTTCTCCCTTGTTTCCTATTGAAAAATTTTGTTGTTCACTAAGTTTTTGTTGTCAAAATCTCCATTAATACATGTAGTAGAGATATCTCTTGCTCCCTCAGATAAATCCAAAAAAAACATCCTTTGTTCTCTTGAATCAAATGATCACATGCCCTTGTTCCCAAAACCCCTATGGGGATTAATTATCAGTTTCTAGAAGTTTGAAATTCTAAAGGAAATTCCAAACGATTAAAGGAGATATTAACGACGTGAATCAACATTTTGTTCACTTACCTGGGCACTTGGGCATAGATCTTGACATGGTGGAGAAATCTGGTATTCCTCTGTTGTCAACACAAAAGCAGTATCCCTCATGACACTGCACCTTCTGAAAATGCCCGTCAGCATCACACTTTGGGACATACTGACCAAGAAGAAGAGGCTTGCTCTGGGTAGCAGCAAGCATGCGTTTACACAAAGTTTCCACTGACAAATACAAATGCAAATCATTAATAACGTTGTAACAAATTCAGCCAACCATTTTGGAATCACTAGATTAACTCTATTTGCTAATTCGCTATGTCCAATTGGAGTTCAGTAGGATGGCACATTAGAGCTATCTTTGCAGTTTATTAGGCTGCACTTTAATTTATCACTGATGATAACACAAAATATAGCAATTCAAGGTGTCTTGTGCAATTAAGTCAAACACCATGGAAAGCATCATTTCCTGGACTGAATTCTTCACACAACTAATGTGGCAAGCTCTTTTCTAATCAAGAAAGAACTTGTCATTTGCGGCAATGCATCCGCAAACCCAGTCCCTAGCATGAAAGAAGCCAACAGCACAATTTCCATGGGATGAATGCCAGCCATAAGAATGTGAGAAATAATTGAGACGTCATCTTGTATGCAGACTGTGCTAAACTAGCTTTTAATAATGTCAACTGAAGGTATAGGCTCGATTACCAGCCGCTGTTCGGAAAGAAGCCCGCACTCCTCTTCTCAGTGAGGGATGTAGACCAGACATGAGAGAGTGGCGGAAATCAAGCCTACTGAAGGTATTAGATGAAAAGTAAAGTTTAACATTTATACAAAAGACAACAATATTGTTTAGTTTCAATGACATGTTTTGGATACTTCAGAATGTATCAATACCACAAATTGTAAAAGACTTTACAATAGAAACATTGTATTATATTAAGTTGCATGTCAGGTGCTGACAGTATTTATCTAGTAAACAATAATATATTAATTAACTTTACCTAAAATAATACTAAAAAGCAACAATAAACAGTCAACTATACTCAACAATAAATTTACCTGGGCCACATTTCACAGTTTGTCCTGTTGTCTTGTTGATGAACCTTACACTACATTTATCACAGGATTCCACCACACATCTCAAACTCTCTTGAGGCTGGTCAGGACATCCAGCATAGTTACACAGCTGGGCGGGGCAGTTCACATGTTTTTGACCAGAGGGGCACACTGAAAATCACCACAATAATGTATCCAGTAAAGATTCTAAGTAACAAAAAATTAATTTAGCCTACATGTACTGTAGGAGTGAAATACAACCCTAACCCTGTATTAATTCTCCAGCTGTGTCCTACATGTATACCTTTTGTAAAAGTTAACACACTTTTTTTAATGGAAATGTGGTTTTGAATCAAGACATTCATCATTGCTCCAGTCTCCTAGCAGAGTTGGGCTGTCGCCTCTCTGTCTCCAGGTTATCACATTAGGATATTACAAGTAACAATTTCTCCCCATCATTCCTCTTTATCCCATTAGGCACTTAAACCTGCAAGGCAACTCATTAACATCTTAAGACAATGTTTAAGTGATCTGGTTAATCATCGTTTTTTTCCTTTCTCTCTGGCTAATTTCTCTTTTCTCTACACCTGCAGTTCCCGATAAAGCCTTTGTGACCATACAAACCTGCACCCTGATACTCGTACATTAAGTCTTGTTTGGACTGGTTACACTCGGCTTAAATTTCCTAGTGCTCATTCATACACCTGAGTGGACAGAGGTGCTGTGAGAGTTAAGTGCCTTGCCCAAAAACACCATCCTGTAGTGACCTGGCTACACTCAAAACCGCACTACTCATAGCAAACTCCATGTACGCCAACCACAAGGCTACTGCACAAAGGTACAGGTATTTCATTAATTCTTACTTGGTTCCAGACACCAGGCACCACAGCCATTACTACAACACTTCTGTGACCCATTGCAGTCTTCATCAGCACCACAGGTAACAACACAGGGACCGTATGGGGTTGCCCTTGGACACAAACCATCTTTCACTGGAGACCATGAAAATAATGTAATTAAAACAATTCAAAGTATGAGAAATTTGTACTACATCTTCATACTGTAGCAGCTTTTCTAATTCTAAACTTCAGCTTGCTCCAAAAGGTTAGTGACAGGGGGGAGGGGGGGCAGGTTACCCTTTCTTTGCAGACGAGAGTACTGTTCAGAATAGAATTTAAAAAAAGACTGAAAAAATCATCATACATGTATGCTGTACCTTAAACTACTCACTTCTGGCTTATAGTACACATAAAATTACAATCACTTGACTCTATATTGACTGTTGTTAACTGATCACATGACAAGTAATTCCTCTTAAGAATAATACCACACTCACCAGCACTTAAGAGAGAGGCCTAAAAAGAACACGAAATAAATACATGAATATTGACATATATTATGTTATAAAAAATTCAGTACAAACCTGTTAATGTGTACTCCAGGAAATATCTAAGTTACGCATGATAAAAGGTTATTAATATTCTGAGGGGGGGAGGAGGAGGGGGTCCTGGTACCAATCATTTTGGCAAATGAAGTGAGAGGGTGGGGGAAGGGGAAACCAAACACCCTTCCAGGTGGGGTATGGGTATTTTAGTCTAGAGCATAACAAATAGTCTTTTATAAATTACTACCTCACTTGAAATTTGTTTAGCACAAGACAATCTCAGTTTTTAGCCAACCACAAAAGGGCACAGGGCTACCACCTAAATCAAATTTTATGGTTGTTCACAATGAATTCCAAAATTCTCACATGAATAGTTCTACAAATATTATTATCAAAATTCTCTACATAAAAGCTCTTGGCCTTAAACTTTTTCCCTTTCTGTACATACAGACATAAGAAGACAGACTCACCTGAATAAGGACTATAAGGACAAATCCAAGTTTAAAATTAGGCATGGCTGCAAAACGCCTGCAGATATTGAACGAAGCAAACGGTTAAATAAATCAACGACGACCAGGTTAATGTTCTGATTTTCACTTTTATTTCACAGCTGAGCTTTAAATAAGTTTTAACTCACTGCATGCACGTCATTTATCAAATTTATTCATACATTTCATTTTTTAAAGACATGTTTCGGCATGCTTATGCCATCTTCAGTTTAATAGAGTGACTAATGATACGTGACACAAGTTATATACTACAAAATATGAATAAAT